CTAGAATTTTCAGTTCTTTCGCTAAGTGGACATATTTGCAGCTATGCCTTGTAATAGGCAGTGAAACGCAGCAAATGTCGACCATATTAAAAAGAATGATGATACGATCAATTTTTTTAAAAGAGAGAGTTAGTATGACAAGAATTTGAATACGCAGTCATGAGAGGTAATTTTCTGCACTGCCCAGTAACCTCGTCTGACATATGTCTGCATATTTTGAACGTTTATCAACCAACCAAAGTGTATTATTAGCTTATGCAACTCGCGTTGCAATCATGACAGACATTCACAAACAATAGGACGGCAATTAGCTCTCTTCCGAACGTTACAACAACTGAACTTCAGAGAATCACGAATGCTGGATTAATTATCTAAACAGGAAATATCGTATCAGGGTCGAACATGCAGGCAGTGTGATCCAAACGGTCTTTGTAACAGGTAAGGTAATCAAGCCATGACCAAAGCAAATGATGACAGATGACTTAAAAACCTATATGAATCTATGTGGGAAAGTTAAGAGAGGTCGCATTACAGAGGGATGGCTTGAAGGCTGCTGAATAAGATATCCTGTTAAAAAAAGTGAGCTCCGATAGCACTAAAGGACGAATTAGTAACAAAAGTTAAAGGTCGTTGTTGCATGAGAGTAATCTGCCTTAGGTTCTACAGTAGACTCTGCTCGTCGAAGGTAGACGTTAGCCTTCAACTACTGCTCTTTGAGTAATCAACGGTCAGATCAGATGTCCTAGCAGCCACGGCGTTAAACCGGAGCATCTCCAGTCAGGAGGAATGGCCATGTTCAATGTCCTTCCCGAACGATTCACAAACACATCAGATTGAAGAAGGCACCAGAAGCATCGAAGAACTCTTTGAAGATTCTTCTATTTAAGAAATGTTATGCTGAAGACCTTCAGAACTATCGATCCATCAGCCTAATGTCACAAATCTGCAAAGTCTTTACTTGAATAATCCTCAGCCATCGCTGGAATGGCCATGAACTGATGGCTTGTAAAAGGCAAGCCAGTTTTGCACACGGTTCTCAACCATAGACACATGCACACCTCGGAGCAGGCAATGGAGAAGTATAATTAATACCAATTCCTCCAATGCTAAACATTCATCAAAAAAGCGTTCGATTCAATCACGTTAATACCATTCTTTCATTATCAAACACTGCCGTGAAAAAGATCTCATAAATGCAAGGCAATTCAACTACATGCGCTGATTACGTCTTTACTAATTATGCAGCTCCACTGCATTATCTACAGTTCACCTATCAGTCCCACCCTGTATGTATTTCAGTGAAGTTTATCGCTGCGTATTTTTTAGTGTTGACGTGCAACATTACGGAGCACATGGAACAGTCGCTTGTTTTTCCTGCTGATCAGACATTCAAGCATTAACTAAGGAATCATTGCATAATATTCATGCACACAAGACGGAGCATGTCGCGATGGCATGGGTGCATTGTGGCCAAATTAAGTCAAGTCAAATTTGGAGAAATGGCAGGTAGGAACTACCGCCATTTCAGGAGGTTTACAGAAGGTGAGACCCAAACAGCGATGAGATAAACAAAAGAGATTACACGTACCACGGATCATTCATGATAAGTTTGATTCGGTCAGGCTTCTGAAGACGTCCGAATTCCTCAAGCTCGTTAGCAGAAACTAGCAGGCTATTGTAATTGCAATATTTGGTAGTAATTGTTCCTGTTATGCTAATGCGGTTCATTCTTTAGTGATGATGCTCATCAAAGGCGCCAACTGCGAAATGACGATTTAAAGTGAGTTGACCAATATTATTCAGAAAATACGGTGAAGTCAGCATAAAAACTAGACAAAGCTGGAACATGACAAATCTTTCATTTAATGGGTTCGAAGCTAAGTATGCAACAAATTAATACTAAAGAAACAGGAGGTAAGCAAAGGCAAATATGTTAAAGCCTTCTAAACGCGGTGTTGCAAATGAGAATTGTTAAACTTTTGAATGGAGTAGAAAACTGAAGAATGGGTCTCAAAGTATCTTTAGATTTAACGCTTGTTTTGACAGCATTCTAGTGCGAAAACTACGATAATTCGAAAACATAAAAGTACATTGTGACTCTTTGAAAAACACTAGCAATCTTTACTCCAGGATCGAAATCACATGGAAAATCGACAACTTGCTACCCGTTTCTCGAATGATTGTTAAAAGCAACGTCCCTCATGGAATTGTAAGGTAAATAAGAAATTTCTTAAATTTCGGATCCGTTCCAAGTCTACGTCTCACCTCTGCAGCAAAGTCACTCTGTTGACAGGAAAAAACTTAATACATGTTATGCGATAAAGAAATGTTAATAAATATGTCTGTTTTGTTTTTGTGTTTCAAACAATTGTTAAGAAAGCGGTATGTGTTCGAAACTTTTCATTTCAATTAAGGCATTGAATTGGTGAAGATTTTTATAAGCTACAGTTACACTCAAGAAGCCGTATATTTGAAAAATAACTGTTTAAAAAATAGCTTTCACAGATTTCGCTGACAAATATTCTCAATCAACTAATAAACGCATTTCACGAATTTGCATGAGTACAAAAAAGGCTCATACTGAGGAAACTTGACTTCTTGGAAAGTCAATTGTTACAACAATGTCGTAATTCGCGTTAAACCAGTATATTAACAAGAAGCAGGGCGAAACAGGTGCTACCCACACATTTTGCTGTGTTTCATTAGATATCCAAGGTAGAACCAGGGATCAGGCGATTCTCTTACACGACCTTCGTACGTTTGAATTTTTACATTTAAATCAGTGTTCAACGTTGCATCAGAGAACATGCTATAGATAGTCATTTGATCGTCACCAATTAAATTTCTGGCCAACAATGAATCCGTCGTTCGACGATATTGGTGTACGAATTTTTTGATAATATGGTTTTTTCCTAGGATCGTACCACCACAAACCCAATGAGGCATATTCTTGATTATCCATTCAGAGGATTTATTTGTTTTAAGTTCGTGTACTTTGTTGAAGGCAATTTTTGAAGGGTCAAAATTTGGAGGATGCTTCAGCACGAAACATGAACTTGATTTATATTCCCTGAACAAGCCAAGGTCTAGCCACATGGTGCATTCAGTCTTGAAATAGTCGCTGTCTACTGCCTCTTCCAGCATATCGTACTTTGCATGCATGATCACGACATAGGGAGGATTGGTGGTCGGAGGATGATGCTTCGGGTAGCCTTTCTGAGCAAATATCTTTCTCGCAGTTTTCAAAATCATCCAACTTCTGCCCTCTGATTCGTTAAAAAGATTTACGAACATGTACTTCGTCGGCAGATCACCACGAACCTGACGAAACTGTTCATATATCCATCTTTTGTTATAGTAAAACACAACCGGTTGCAAGAGTTTACCCCAGGAATAAAACCAGCTAGTGTAATCTTGAGTGGTACGAATGGTAGTGCCTTTGATGAAAGTGCCGATGTCGATGAAAGCCGTAACTACCGTTATGTTGGTCTCAACCGAACAGGTATGCAATGCCACGATGCCACTCCTGTCTGTGACGCTGCCAATCAATTCGAGGTATAGTGTTGTCAGAAGCACAACCATCGTCGACACCCACAGAATCATTTTAACAGGACTTCTGATTATTAACTTCATCGGCCAGCGTACGACTTCATCCTTTTTCTGAAACGTAAAAAACGTATAATCAATAGGCAAACACAATTAAGACCAGGTCTTGAAACTGTTAAGCAGCTGTTAAGACGAAAAAATGTGAACAAATTAACGGGTATCAACACAATATTAGACTCACCCCGTTGACGAACAGGCATATGGTACCAGGCGGCATTTCTATCTGGTGTGGAGTATATCAAACTACTAAGTGATTCCACCAATTGCACATTTACAGTCAGTGAAGGTGATTGCAGAACCACTGTGGAACTAGAGCTCAGACCCGAAAATAATCATGTTGAAAGTGCCATCACTAATGACAATCACAGCGCACTGCAGAATAATGAATAAAAAAAGACTGGGCATTTAAGGAATGCTGCAATCTAGGCTAGCGATAGTACTCTTGATTTCGAAGAGCATCGATGAACTAAAATGGCATAATCGAATTCCAGAAATTTTCATGTGAAATACATTTTGAATTTGGGTGCAACATCGTTGTACACGGCTGGTTAAGACTTGTGTTTGCACTAGTTTGAGCTTAATTGCTGCTAATAAACCGACAATTCGTTCATTCTCTCTCTGCAGTTTCGGTACTCATGACAATCAATCAGTTACCCACGGCAATTTCTTTGCCTTACGACCCTGCTCTGGCGCAGAAAAAAGTTTGTAATGGTTTGACTTTCGTCTTCCATAACTTTTTAAAGATCGGACCGTTTTTAATACCTTTCTTTTCATGCAGTTAATGGTTAGGCGCTGATCTCCATTCCATGCTGTCAGGCAAAAATACCTGTTAAATGCATAGTCGGAATCAGCTCTGTAATGAGTACTGCGTGTGGTCTCCTATTTCCTTCCCACAGAATGGTACACATTTGTATCCGCTGAAAAAAAGGCGAATGATTTTCACCGACGCTCAAACCAGAGACCTCTAGGGTCTTGGTCTGACGCTCTATGTACTAAGCAACTTTGCTCCAGCGCGAAAAGTTTGTATGATTCTGTCAAGAGAAGGTTAATAAAATTTGACATTTTAAAACTTATGGCATTAATCTGGCATCAAATGGTCGAACATCGACTGGTTTGCAGAAGACTATAAATTCCATCGTTCCACAGTATTTCAAACTCCTTTGTCATCGAATATTCGGTCAGCTGTAAAATTGCAATAGGCTTTTGCTGATCATGCAGATCAATGTAAATATTCATCTGTGCACTGTTCCTATAAAAGAGTTATGGTTGCATGAATTGATGTCCCTGATGCCAGTTATCTCAGCAAAGGCGAAACAGTTCTTTGCGGCATCTTTTATGTTCTGTGGTAATCCACAAATGCCCAGTTATTACTGCGGCATATTTTGGAGACACCTCCTACACCGACGGCAATTCCGAAATATTCGAACATAGCTCAAGTGATTATATAGCGCTTGTATTACGCGCACAGAGGATTTAGACTCTATTTGCTATAGATATTTGTGCGTGCCGTTTTTGCATTATTCGTAAGATTTTTGAATGGCTGATTCGTCGCTTCACCTTCAGACTGATCGAGCGGCAACGCGGAAAGATACAGTGTGTCTAAAGTGACGTACAGTCAGCTAAATGGGTTGACCATAAATGACAGCTAAAACTAGCACAATGAACATGTCCCTCTATGCCGAATTTGCAAACAACACTAAGCAGAAAATCCCTGGAAGCAATTATGCGACGGTGGAACACGAATGGGCGTGAATTCTAGCAGTCATTGAGTTTAAATTGACAATTCTTCACAATTTGAAGACTGCAATTTAGGTAGAATATGCTTCGAAACACTTGTTCATCCATCCTTTATTGGATGCCAAGTTGTCTCTTCATCCAACGTGTAGTTTTGTCTCAAAACGTATTCGTTTCCATTCAACTTCAGGACCGGAATGAAATCAGCAGCCAAACTAAGGACTTGGGCCATTACAGTTGCACGATTCTTTGCAAACACGCGTAATCACGGTCTTCGCAATATCCTTCTGCGCTTATAGGGGGTGGGGGGGATCCATTTAATGATATTGAAGAAAATGTAAGTCCATCATAAAGCTGATTTCAGGCTTGTTGCGGTCACTTCAATGACAATGAAATGCCATTATGTTGTGCTGAATCCATTGCAATGTCTTGATTTACAGCAGTTTATTAAAACACAGCAATTAGAAGTTTAATTTATCTGGCACACGATTCTATCAATAACCTGAATGGAGAAGGTTGCATTGTAACAACAAATTCATTCGACTTTTACTCCTTTCCCCTCATGGCCAAAATTGCATGCTAATCTTCAGCTCTGCAGCAATAATTCTTACGTTGTATGTAGCTTGCGAATTATCTTTCAAATCGACAATGGCTGATGCGATCTATTCAGCGATGGGACAACAAACAGCACTGTATTGATCTCTGATTTCTTCAAGTCATATTAAGACCGGCTCATTAGCACCCACATTAAACAGATCGTTTTCATCTTTGTGATATGAGCAAAACCTGGTGCCACTATCTTGATTCTTCAAGACCATAGTTTACCAAGTGAAGAGCATCTATAGACTCGTGAATGCGGAAAATTCTTAATTATCAAATGCATTACTTCAGTTATATAATAGTAAACAATTAAAAGGTTAAAAATAAATGAAACGAGTCAACGTGCTACGTTCAAAAGGTATGCGTTCAGAGAGTCTTGATGGACGACATGGTTCCAGACGACAATAGATTATATATAGCATCTGCAAGACCTCCTTGCTTTGCGATAGGTTACCACTCGATGACCTGCTTGACAGGACAAAACCTCTTTCGAAATCATCAATCTTCTATACTGATGGAACAATGATCGATTGCATCCAAGCTTATCTGATCAGACTAGATGTTCTGAATGGCAGGTCTCTGAATGGTATTTTCTCGCAGAGTAGGATGCGAATTGCATAATCAGTTCTGAAATCATTCGACTGAAAGTATGTTCAGCGAAAAGTGGGATCTTCGACCATGGATGTATAAAATCTGACATTTTTCACAGTCAGATTTTCATAATTAGTTGGGCAAAGATTCCTCGTGGAACCGGACGAGATTTATTTAAATCATTGGTTGTTCCTTGCATTCATTTGACATACGATTACACTTAGTTCGGAAAAAGTATCACAAGGTGAAGGCACGGTTCTGTCTCGTCCTTAAACTCTTTTCGAAGCAATCTTACATCACAGTGGCAACCATTCTGAACTTACCGTGACACGAAATGGCCATCCTTCTGCTTTGCCCACTCTGATTTCGTTGAACACGGCATGGTGTTTTCCGCTTAAATCCATTTTGATGGCTGAAAATTGTTTTTCCCTATAACTTCAATTTTCGGGCATGGTTTTCAGACAGTTACAGGGCCGCCGCTTTCGCGAAGGTGCATTCGCAAATAAAAACCAACAGCCAAAATTAGTCATTGACTTAACTGCAGTAACACAAGTCATTGTATTCAGTTCATCAACTTCTTTTGAAACTTTTTAGGCATCTCCGATCACGTAACGTAGCACCTACAGCAATTACTGAATTTGGGCCATATGACCGAAAGTGAAAGATAGTCGATCATTTAGTTTTTTGATCTTTAGCAATTTTTATTCACTAACCGGTTGCTATTTTAATGGCACAGCCATAGAAGTACAATCTTCCTTATATTTTCCCCTTATGAAAGACAATGAAGCTATATCTGGCAGAGGTATAAATCTGGGAAATGAGTGGATAGAAACTATGCTGAACGTTTATGCATTTTCATTGGCAAATCAATTCACGGTTCTATATCAGAGAAGTATACTTGTATTCACCCTTCTGTGCCAGACGTCATGTCGGTTACATCGTTTTACTGTCCTGTTTGATTGCAACAGGATCAATAATTATTCTTTGGGTCTCTCTTTTACCGTGGAAATTTAATTTCATCTACAGGGTCATCCAATTGTCTTGATCAAAATGCATTTTTTTCAAATCATTCCCTTCCGAAATCGTTGTTGGCTTCTAACATAGCAACGGCACATCCCTACACATTGAAACAAGCCACACTTTCTTAATGATGGGATACGAATCTTAGAATTTCTAGCTATTTTGAAACTTGCTCCTTTGCAAAATCTCCCAAGAGAAACAAATGTTATAAGCATTTAAAAAATTCTAGCAACAAATCAAGCACAAAGCCGGTGCATGCGAGCAGGGATTTGATAAATGAGTCTATAAATACGGGAAATAAATATATTGAAAACATAGTCAAAAACGCATAAAATAGTTTCAGCGATGAACAGATCAGCTAAACGTTTTAAATTCAAAACAACTTGCTTAGTCCATTCTTAACAAGAGTAATTAGCGAATGATTCCTCCAAGAGGGACTTTAAGAAGGCTATGGTTTTCTGGCAATTGAGCATCATTTGCAGTCCCAGAATCATCTCGCATCATTTTATCCATCAGATTCATCAAGCGCTCATCACGAACGACGTGTCAGGAGGTGATACTCAATATGTGCTGCCACATAAACAGCATAGGAAGTCGCACTTAGCTGTGAACTTTTCCACAGAGCGCTGGAGATTAGTCTCCATAGATGCCAACAGAAAAAGCTGTTTGTAAACACTAATTTCTTGTCTCGGCATATCCTACGTTGATACACTTGTCGTCCCCGCTGCGCCAGACTACTATTTACTCTGACACAGTACCTCCTATCACCATACAGTGAGTGAATGGCCCATACCAACCATCGATCGATTCCATATTCAAATAGGATTTCAGACATACCGCAGCATGTTGCGCGGATCCCATCATGGGTTTTCTCCAAGTCTGCAAAGCATATATAAAAAGGATGAGCAAATGCCCATGATTTCTCAACAATCTGGTTTACGGCGAAGATTCAGTCAGAGGTTCTTCGGCTGGACCGGAAGCCACACTATTCTTGTTCCATCTTGGAGTCAGATATTACGAGACACCACACCTGTTAGCAAATTTGTGTTGAC